GCTCACCACTCCATCTCTGGTGAGTCCTTCCCGTCACCTCCAGCTTACACCCCAGTTCTTCAATACAAAATAAATAAATAAAATCTTTAAAAAACAAAAACTCATGGCACTTGAAAAGAGTTAAAAGTCACTTTTATAATAAACTATTACCTCAATGCAGATGGGTACAAATTCTGGCCTTGTCATTGTTAAAGCCCAGCACTATTTTGTCATTTGATTTATTAGGCATTTCATAAATATTTGTGCCCATGAATAAATAAATGAAAGTGATCTCATATATCCACTAGGGTGATTGTGGAAAGATATTTTGAGGAGGAGGCTTATAAGATAGACTTTGAAAAATTCTATTTAAAAGCTGACGTGATGTTGCCAACAGGTATATGAAAACATGTTCAAAATCCCTTATAAACAGGAAAATGCTAATGAAAACACAATGCGATACCAACTTACACTAATAAGAATGGCACATATTAAAAAAAACTAACGACAACAAGAGTTAGTAAGGATATGGAGAAAAAGGAACTTTCCTACCCTGCTGTTGGGAATGCAAACTGGTCCAAGCACTCCGGAAAGCTGTATGGAGGTTCCTCAGACTGTTAAAAATGGAGTGACCATGTGACCCAGCAATTCCACTCCTAGAAATCTACCCAAAGGGCACAAAAACATTAATTCAAAAAGACACCTACACTCCTATGTTTGTCAACACTATTTACAATAGTTAAGATACAAATAACCAATGCCCCCCCAAATACATGACTGAATCAAGAGGATGTGACATATCACATCCTCTTGATATACAATATATGTATATTGTGTGTGTGTATATAGATAGATAGATAGATAATGGAATACTATTCAGCAATCAAAAAGATAAACTCATGTCATTCACAGCAACATGAATGGAGCTGGAAGGAATTATGCTACGTGAAATAATTCAAAAGGATGACTAAAAATATTGGGTGGTTTCACTTAAAGGAAGAATATAGAGAAACCAAATAAGGGATCAGGGGAAATAAATAATAACAATAGAAAATTAACAGGCAACTATAAATCAGAGACATCCTACAGGGGAGGAGGTGGGCGGGGACTCAGAATGTGAGGGAAAAGCACAAGGAACTAAGGTGATAGTGCACGGGTGAATTGGTAGTGGGAATTCTATGGGGACCACACATGAGAGAAGGAAGCAAACACTGTATAAAAATAAACAATGAATGGTGTAAATGTATATATATATATGAATAAAATCTTATATTAATGGAAAAATAAATAAATAAAAGCTGACACAATGGCGACAGACAGTGAGATTAGCTGGTGCTGAGGCTTGGAGACAAAGGCTTTAGTTAATGCTCAGAAAAGAGTGGAAAGTTCCCTCCGGTTCTAAGGTCCAGGATATGGACTACATAGGAAAGCAGGAAGAGACTGTGCTGGAAAGGAAATGAAGTCAAATAAGCTGGAGAAAGGCCTATCCTGGAAATCAAAACTTAATTTCACAGCTGATCAGAGAGACAATGAAGATACATGGGGCACAGGCTTAGCAACAAGGGTGGAAAATGCATGCAGGGAACCTGTTCCTGACTCTGTGACAGGCAACATAAGAAATAAGAAAAACCTAAACTGGACTGCTGACAGCAGGTTATTCATGCAAAAGGAAAAGCAGTGATAGAATTATATGGTTAAGTTGGATTCTCTGAAGAAAGACGAAAATTTTAACTAAAATATTGAAAGGGTCTCCTCAGTGGGTGCTGGAAGAGGAATGGTTAAGTTTATTTGGCAGTGTTATCAAGCTAGAGTCTTTAGAATGTATCTAAACACAACATTCTTGGGGTGAACAATGTAAATCAGTGGATAAAGATTAATGTAGAACTTCTCCTTAATGAGATCTCATACTTATGTCTGGAAATTCCCTTAGTCTATCCACACACTTTTGGGCCAGGGAGTTCTGGGCAAGTCCACGGGTAAACAAAGTCTGTCTTTTGGAGAAAAAAAACTGGAGACATTAACTTAATTCAAGGTGGTTCCTTCCTGCAACTAGAAGTATGTTTATGTTAAATGTTTTATGGAAGAGAATACAAGATTCACACAGATTTCAAGATGATTCTCAAATCAAAGAAATGTCTTGTTTGGCAAATTGCTTTAGAATCTGCCCTCCTTACCCCAACCTCCCCCAAAACTCATCTCTCCACCCCTCAGCTAGAGTTTATTTTGCTAAGTTGTCTAAATATCTGGTCCACAAACATGCAGCTAGTAAGTGATTTTTAAAACAGGTCTCTCTCGAGTCTGCACTCTTAACTACTACAATATACACTATTAAGGTCTTTGAGCTTTAGTTACTATTCCATTTAACATCACTCACCAAGTAAACGACAACATAAAGTCAAATACTAGTAGCTGGTGTTTTTCAATAGCAAATTAGTAGGGTCTCCAAGAATGTTATTGTGAAGAAAGTGACTTTTCAGTGTTTGGGAGAATGTGAAAATAGAATCATCAAAAGGATCCCATGTGGTGTTAACTAGAGTACTGCCCATTAATTAGATGGACAACATGTTAAGCATTCTCTTAAGACTCATTTATCCTCTAACTTTTTACAACACAGACAGAGCTGCCATCATATTTCTATTTAAACTCTTGAAATTAGCACAGATTAGAAGGTCCTTCACAATCTTGTTTCAGTCTATCCTTTAGCAACATATCCCCTCAAAATCAGCCTCCAATACCCTAGACTTTTAACTAATTAGTTATTGAGAAAACTAAAAGTCTTTCTGGAAAGGTAACCTCAAAGTGAAGACTTAAGTGTAAGATTAAGAAGGACACGGTAGAGGAGCGAGCCCAGGCAGGAATGTGGAGGCGTTATGGTGGGAAAAAAAGACTGGACAGGTGAAGTGTCTTCCTTCATTGAAGGAAGATGAGCTTGTCAAGGTAAATCAGAAGAAGCCAACAGCCTGATTTGTGAGTCATGGGAGACAAGGGTACTCCTTTATGGGCAACAGGACGTCAGATGAAAGATTTTGAACAAGGAGTGACATGCTCAGATCTGATCCACAAGAAAGATCACTCTAGATACTGCTTAGAAAAGATGATATGCATCTTATTGCCGCTATTTCTGAGGTACACCTCCACAGACACCTAACAAATCTGTAGTTCTGAATTCTCATCAGGCTTCAAGTACAGAAATTAAAAACACAAAGGCTTTTCTCTTAAAGTCTCAGGTTAATGTCTGTTTTATATTATACTATATATTTTAGAAACTAACAAGCAAATGACTTGGGAACCTCCTTTTTAAGATTACTCAATGCATGAAATGTGATATTGCAACATTGCCAAACCACTTTATAATCTTTTTTTAAGTGCATATTTAAATACACAAATATGACCAATGAATACAGTATTATATAATCACTAAGAGAAGTTACTAGGGTTTCTGTGATTTTTTTTTTTTTTTTGGCTTTTTCTTCTATTAATATTGGCGCCAAAGAAATTAGGTTATAACTATTGTTTCTCTTTGTGGGTGAAGAGACATTTCCAAGTACGGAATGAATGGAGTTCATTCAGGGCCTTGCAAATGGGCTGTGGTTCCTTTTGATGCACAATGAGACCCAAGAAGGATATTCAGAACAACCCCAATTTTTTTTTTAACCCATTAACATGAACCTTACATTTTAAAGAAACTTCATACATGAAATTACCTAGGCTTATCTATTCTTTCATCGCAGTTCCTACACAAAAATATTAAGGATCTCAGACTGTCTACTATTCAGGGAAGGCAGCTATTTTTTTTTTTTTTAATAACAGGGTAAATCATACGTTGTTTAAAACCCAAATTACAGAGGACATAGGAATTTCCAATAGACTAAGCTTGACACAATGACATGAAATAATAACATTTGAGAGAAAAAACAAGATTTGGTGGCGAGAGCTAGTTTCTGCAAAAGGAGAAAGATGAAGTCATGCATATTTCAATCAGCCTATTTTTTGTTATTACTGTTGTCCCTGAATATATCAGGTCTTCATGTGCTTTTTTAAAACTTTTTTTTTAAAAAGATTTATTTATTTATTCATACAGAACTGGGGTACAGGCCAGAGATGCAGAGGGTGAGAGGATTCACCAGAAACAGAGCGGGGAGCAGAACAGGCAGATCGACGAAGTATAGTGCTGAGGGGAGCAGCGGGCGGGTCAGGAGAGGTCTGCCACGCCATGTGGTCACCTCCGGGGTAGGCGGGGATCGAACTCATGCGGAAGTGGCTTAAGCTTCTTAGTGCTGTGCTTTAACCCGCTGTGCCACCAGGGAGGGCCAAAACTTTTTTTTTTTTTAAAGGCAAGACAAGAAACTAGAACAGTTGGGAGAAAAAGAGGTTGAAACCCACTTCCTCCACACCCTCTGGGTAGCACTGATCCTTTGTGTGTGCTTTGTCTTAAGCAGTAAATGTTTCATTACGATTACACTGAAGAGTTTAACTGTCATCAGCAGTAGAGTAACTTGAAGGTCTCTCTCTCTCTCTCTCTTTTTTTGGTTAAATTTATCCATTTTGTCAACTTTTTTTTTGTTTTTGTTTGAATTACAGATCAGCCTGCTGAAAGTGCTAAGTTCATAGCTGACAACAACAGAGATTCAATCCAATGCTATAGCTTCAGAACCACACTGGCAAAAGATTTGAATGTAAGAGGAGAGAAAGTTCAAATTATTTGACCCATGAGATATTTAAAGGTCAATATTTAAAGATTCAGTAGTATTTTTCCTACCTTGGCAAGGGAATTAATTTATACCTAGATTGGTCGGGAGTGGATGGCCCCTCAGAATAATTTTTAGACTGGACTACAAAGGACACACAGAAACCCTGTGAGCAAGAGAGGACTGAGAGACTAAGAGAGTACTAGGGAGCCTGGTTCTTGGCATCTGTGAGCACTTCCGCCTGCACTTTGGCCCACATGACACCAGTTCAGGCCAAACTGAGCACAGCAGCCAGGGGCTGGCTAGAAACCTCTATGCTCACACTTCACTCACCAGTAGGGGCTCAGCAAAGCTTCTTCACATTGTGTACTTCTGAAGCACTCCATAATGCTCTTCTTAATGGACACATTCAAGATTAAAGAAGAATTTTGAGACTGAGTCATTCTGGGAGGTAAAAGAAAGAAAACCTAGTCAAGTGAAATCATCTCTGACAAATCTTCTGCCAAAAGAGAAAGCAGTACTCTTTCCCACAAGCCCTTTAAGGCTAAATGCTGCACAGAGCTATTTTCTGGTTAACCTTTACCTGTTTCATTAAGCAAATATTCATTACTTACCACATATCAGAGCTGTATGATTATTATATGTTACATAAATAATGTATAATAACCATGAACATATTCCAAGATCTTATTACATAACAATATGATATGATTATAGTGGAAACAATGGTCGTACTTACCTCATCAGGTCGAGGAGAGAATGAATAGTAGAAAATGCTTCCGATACTCACTCCTATTATTGCTGCTAAAGAAACTGTCTATGTAAAGCTTTATTTCTTGGGCCAGTTAGTAATACTTTTTAGTGGAGATGCCAGAGACTAAACAGGGATTCATAAATTTGAGTAGGATGATGGAAAAAAGAGAGAATCTTGATCCAGATGTATTTTATAAAGTTTTGAAGCACCTGAGGACTGAGATTTCCTGTAGATGCTGAAGTCTGTAATGACTCTTGCACTTTCAAGACCTCAGACTAACATTGAAATAGGGAATTTGGGGTTCCTGATTCAATCTCTCTACACTAACATTGTCTTGTGTACAAAATAATTCTAACCTATACCTCAGGGTGCAGAAGATATTATGTATATGCTTACAACTATATTTAGAACTTAATAAAGTGCTAAATATATCTTAAGTCACTACCATCAGCATTATACCACATGGGAGAATAGGCAACTAGGATTCATGTTTCATGGTCCAAGACTATCTGATTTTCTGTACTCTTTGATGATGAAGAGAATTTTAATTTCAATTATTCTGTAGCTAAAAAATCCAGAACACAAGGCAATTACTAACCCAATTGAAACAGAGATCTTAGACCACAGTGAATGGAAGGAAAATGGTGGCACATTATAAGCTTGAGAAAAGGACAAGAAGCCAACAGGAAATGAAGCCACCTTATTTATCTTGTAGGGACTTCAAGACCAGTCTTTTCTCTCACCTTTATTTCTCTTTTCAGTGCTTTCTCAGTTTCCTCCCTTCTCCACTGTGGCTTTGTTTACATGACTTACAAACCCCAAACCACTCATCCACTGTGTGTGTGTGTGTGGCGGTGTAGTGGTGTGGTGATTTAGGGTCCCACATCTTAAAAGTGAAGAAAGTGACGTTTTCCTAAGATCCTGAGTCTGGCGACCTAAGGCACAGTCTAGTCGGAATGTGTAACCCACCAGGCTGAGTACCCACTAAGTAGCAAGGATGAGCCCTGGGAACAGCACTGCACCATCCTCCTCACCTCATACTGGTCCTGTGGGGTTTGCAATTCTGCCCTGAAGGTGGCTCTTTCACTTGAGAACTGATTATCCTAAACCTTTCATCTGCGTATGACAGTGGAACCTGAACTATGTGTTCCAAAGTAAACCCTAGTTCAGTGAGCAGCTATTTTAGAATCTCTTCTGATGTCTTCCTTACTCTGGAGCAGGTATTGACAAACTTTTTCTATAAAGGGCCAGATGGTAAATATTCTAGGCTTTGAGGGCTCAAGAGTCTCTGCTGTCACAGGTATTGAATCTGCCATTCATTCAGGATTCCTTAATATCATGACCCATCTGTTTCAGAGTAAGCCCACCTCAATCTTTCCCACCTCCCCCCACCCCCAAACTTTTCTGCACAGGCCTAGGATGACTCACCCCACATGTTACGCCATCCAAGAAGGCCATGAACCTGACTGGTTCCTAGCATACTAGAGAGCCCACATTTAACACTTAAGTGTACCAAGTCTACCCCTCTAAGAGTCAAACTGAAAAAGGAGAAACCAGAAGTGCTGGTTTCTAGATAGCTATTAGCAGTTAAACAACAAAAACAACAGAAAATAACTTAAAAAACCTATAAAAAGTAACTGGCTTTTGCTTCTCAAACAATAGAAATGGAGATAAGTTGTAAGCCAGTACTCTGTTATACTCTGCACAGTGCAGAGACATCTTGAAACAAAAGTAAAGAAAGCTGGTTAGTTTAGAAATCAACCGGGTGGCAAACAAAGTGAGACTCATAAGGGAGACTCATAAGAATTAAATTAAATATAGCCATGTTACAGAATTTATTCTAATGACACCCACCTTAAATGAAAGCCAGGGGAAGAGACGTACGAGTAACTTAGCGGGCTATGCAGTGTTTGCCAAGCAAACATTTGACATAGGGATGCCATTTCAAAGTAATGGGCCATCCCATGTTCCTAGCACGTGTCTGATGTGGTTCTAGCCTGAGAGTCTAGCAATGCCTTGCTTCTCCTTACATGTGAAACTTCGTAAGAGATCACTTTTTACAACCAAATACTTAAACACTCAAGAGGCAATATCAAATAAACTTCCGTGCTTCAGTCACCTCGTCTGAAAATGAGGATGATAATAGTAGTATTAGCAGCACCCACTCTCTTCTACTTCATTGATCTACTGACATACTATATGGGTTGTAAGACTGAATGTTTACAGATTCAATTTTTCATAGACTATGATTCACTTTTATCTTTCTCATGCTCTTGCTCATACTATATTAATATAAATTGTCTGCAAAATAAGCAAGTTCTAATGCATGCCCAATACTATAATGTAAACTAAAAGCCATTTTCTCAGGAGCAACCAAAGATCATTACTGTATAAAAATAAGTAAGCATCCGAAGATAGTTTTCATTATAAAAATTTTCTATTCACTTTAAAGCCACCATGTAGCTAATACAGCTATAACAAGTGGAAAAATCTCAAATTACTTAAAATGCAATTACTTTAGAACAGTGCTATGATTAACATTCAAATAATGTTATGTGATGTACACATATTCTGCATTTCTTACCTTTCTGAGGTGAAAGAACAGATTGAAGCAGCTGAGAAATCTTTCAAAAAGATTTGGAAATTAGGGAAAAATCTCCTTCACTCCTTTCCTCTAGTAGATAGGATAGATCACTGGGCTTTATTTCAAACAAATCAAAGTCTCCTACTGTTTTCAAATTGTAAAAACCAAAATGTGTAAGTTGTCATCTCAAAGCAGCAGATAGCTTGGAAAAGTACAACTTTTTTTCTAGACTTACTGAGCTATTAACAAATAAACATTGTATATATTTAGGTCATACAACATGCCCTAAAGATGTGCAATGGGATTCCCTAGAATATGATTACAGGTATGTATGAAAATAGGTATACCAAGTGACCTGATTACATCAAGTTAATTAACACATGCTTACCATGTACTTAGTATATAGTGAGAAAAATTAATCTTAGTATATAACACAGTGTAGTTAACTAAAATCATTAGACCCCCAGAATGTGTTCACCTTGTATCTAAGTTTATACCCATTGATCGACAGCTTCCCATTTCCCCTGCCCTCTACCACCATGATTCAACTCAATGGTTCTGTAAGCTCAACTTCCATTTGTAGTAAATTCAGAAAATACTCATTCTCTAGTTAGTATGAGTTTACTACATGTTATTTTTGTAGCTATTCTAACACCTGGGGGTGTTGAGGTTTTGATTTGCTCTTCCCTTGAGTGATACTAGGCATCTTTCCCTGTACCTGTTGGCATTCTGTATGTCTTCTTTGAGAAAGTGTTGATTCAGGAAGTTTGTCCTTTTAAAAATTAAGTTATTTGCAACTTTCTGCTATTGAGTAGCATGAATTTCTTGCATATTTCAGATGTTAACCCCTTAACAATAAATGACTGGCAAATATTCTTTTCCCAGCTCATAGGCTGCCTTTTTGTTTTGTTGTTTGTTTCCTTTGCTGTAGAGACACATCACTAGTTTGATGTAGTTCAATTTTTTGCCACCTGTGCTTTGTGTCTCATCTCTAAAAATCACTGCCCAAACCAATGTCAAGAAGCTTTTACCCTGTTGTATTCTAGGGGCTTTCTGGTTTCATTGTTAATCATGTTGAACTGATTTCACATAATTTGTATAACAGCCCAATTTAATTCCTTTACACAAAGTTTGCATTTCTTTTTGTACCCATACAATGCCACATGAAGCCATGGCATAATGGGTAAGAATAATAACTTTAATGCAAGCAAGTTCAGATTCATCTTCTGGAACTCACTGTGTAACTCTATGAGGTTCTTAGATTAAATGCTTTATTATTTTAAGGTATTTGGCATGATTCCTGGCATGTGGTAAGCAGTCCATGAATAGCTTATGTGTACACATATACACACACATTCACACATCAACCATCTACGTCTGTGAAATAACAATCTTAATAGAAAACCCCGCAATAATAAAGGAAAAATTAAAGTAAAAGCAGCATGTATTCTTAAATTTTCTGTACTAGTAATACACAGAAAATGATAAAACTTAGATTCTCAATACAGTTTTATGAATAAGAGGTGAATCATTTGGCATTTACAAATGACTAGATAAATGCCAAGAAGATGTAATATTTCTGAAATATTTCTTTTATTACTGTTTAGTTAAATTATCCCAATGGTCTATCAGTTCAAATGCAATATTAAATGCTGTGTTGTCTGTTGCTCTATACTTGGTTTTTAAATTAATCATAATAATCATAGGATTTGGAATTATTTGTTATTTTTAAGGCTTTTACATATTTAATACTGATCTGAGTACTCCACCTCACATCAGTTACACAGATCTTTTTAATATCACAAAATTATTCTTTTAAAATTGAAAGTGCATGTACAAATGTCCAGAGTGTAGACAGCTGTCTGGACAATAAGAACTCTGTGTATCAGGACAGATGCTGTTATGATGCCCCAAATTCATCACACAAGTGTTGCTTTAGAAAAGAGTATAATGACCATGAAAAACAGTTATGTATCCCCACGGGGATTACAACTGAGATGATAAAAGGCACAAAATGATGTAAAAATGAACGAATATATTATTTAAAAAACAGAGAGCAAAAGTAAATTAAATAGAAATAAAAAAAAATTTGTATCCCAGTTGTAA